CCTTCAAGATCATGAGAGAAAACTCATCAAATTGATGGGGAGACTTCGAACAAGTAGATTGACCTTGCAAATAGATAAATGCAGATTTTTACAAACTAGCGTGACATATCTAGGTCATATTGTGAGTGACAAAGGAGTTACTCCAGATACGACAAAAGTAGCATCAGTGAAAGAATTTCCCGTCCCTAAAACACCCAAAAATATCAAAGAATTTCTTGGTCTTATCGGTTATTACCGACGTTTCATCCCCAATCTAGCCAGAATCTCTCGTCCATTAACCCAGTTATTGAAGAAAAATCAATCGTTCGTTTGGAGTACCGAGTGTCAAAACGCATTTGAACATTTGCGTGACCTCTTATGTAAAGAGCCCATTCTTCAATTCCCCGATTCCAAGAGACCTTTTATCGTAACAACAGATGCTTCTTGCTATGCCCTCGGAGCTGTTCTCAGCCAGGGAGAAATGGGTCATGATTTACCTGTTTCATACGCCTCAAAATTATTAACAGGAGCTGAGCTCAATTATTCTGTCATAGAGAAGGAGTTGTTCGCGATCGTTTTTGCTGTGAGGCACTATCGTCCGTATTTGTATGGAACAAAATTCAAATTAGTGACAGATCATAGGCCATTAGTGTGGGCTCATAAAATCAAAGATCCAGCATCGCGATTACTCCGTTGGGTGTTATCACTGAGAGAACATGAGTATGAAGTAATTTATAAACCAGGACGACTGAATTCTAATGCTGATGCACTTTCACGAAATCCTGTAGAATTATCAAATCTATCAATTGCAAACATCAAGTTTACAAAGAGTTTGTTTATTGAAGAATTAGAAGACTTCCCGAGGATGTCCTCAATAGAGAGAAACATAATCAGAGAAACCCAAGATTTTAGTAAACAGACCCAGAGAATTCATTTCGTCAAACGAAATGACGTAGTTACTAGAAATGGGATGGACGCTGATGTGAGTAAGTCACATCAGAGAGGAGCCACTCCCCTTAGAAATCAAAAGGGAAGGTCTGTTAATGAGGGTCAGGGTGCCCCTGCAGATCAGGAAGAGGTTGGCCGAGAGGACACAGTACTTTCTGTAGAGGAGTCTGACTTATCTGAGTCTTCCCTTTTCCTAGCGAACCAAGGGTTCTTAGTTTATTATCCGGGCCCGGAAGCATGGAGCAAAGACGAAATGCATAGAACACAAAATGGTCTGAATAAGACGTGCACGCATGACCCCCTAGAATTACAGAAAATCATAGAAAAACAGCATGCAATACTAACACTCGAGGCATCTAGAGGAAGTCCAACAAGAGATAAATCAATAAATAGTAGAAATAGTCCCAACGGAAGTGATCGTGTTTGCGAGGAATGCTCAATTTTCCATATGGAGAGTACTAGTCGAGTTTTTCATTCGAACTCGGAAGAAGAACCCTCTACCCCTGTTTTTCCAGAGGAAGATTTCCCAGATGAAATGAGTGATTATGACGATCAACCTACTTCCTCAGACGAAGAAGAATTAAATTCCCCCCGAGTAGAGAAAATTATTAAACATGGGAAAAGAGTAAATAAACGTGTCCCATTGAATGTTTTTAGCGAAACCAGAGATGGAATTTTCAGGCGAAAGGATAACATCGCTACCTTCATTTCTGCAGATTTCAAGATGAGAACCCCAGTTTTTCAAGAATTACTCGCTAGGAGTTACATTGACGAAAAACAATTTCCCAAAGACAAACCGGATATCGGTGATGTAGTTGTTTTCAAAAATGGAAAAATCCACATTTTCCTGATTGTGATCAAAGAAGGAGTTGAGAATAAAACGCTCTTGAACAATATTAGTCTTGGTATAACAAAACTGAAAGAATCAATAGATTATTTTGACGTAAGAACAGTTAGAATAGCGCGAACTGGAGGCGGACTTGATAAACTCCCCTGGGGTAATATTAAGATGTATTTAGAAAGAACATTTCCCCAAGGCTATCATGTCACTATTTGCCTAAATCAAACTGAGGTACCAGAAATCGATAAAAGAGAAAATATAATAAAAGAGATGCATGAGTCTGTAGTGGGTGGACATAAAGGCGTCGTGAAAACTTATGACAGAATCCGACGATTATATTACTGGGAAAATATGAAACCACAGATCCAAAATTTTATTAAGCATTGTGTTACTTGCCAGAAAAATAAATTAGTTAGAGTCAAGACAAGACAACCCATGATAGTTACTGATACTCCACAGACAGCCTTTGAAAAAATTGCACTCGACATTGTAGGACCATTACCCATTACTAGCACTGGCAACAGATATATTTTAACTATTCAAGATAATTTAACTAAATATTCATTAGCAGTTCCTCTAGCTGAAACAAAAGCCATTGATATTGCAAAAGCTTTTACAGAAAATTTCATTTGTGTTTTTGGTTGTCCTGAGGCAATATTGACTGATCAGGGTTCGAATTTTATCGGTGAAGTTATGAAACATTTAGCTAAATTATTCAAGATCCAACAGTTGAAAACCACAGCTTTCCACCCTCAGACTAATGGATCTCTGGAGAGAAGTCATTTAGTCTTAGTTGAGTACTTGAAGAATTTTTCATTGACACGAACAGAGACTGGGATACGTGGATAAAATATTCCATGTTCTCATACAATACTTCAGTCCATGAATCAACAGGTTTTACTCCTCATGAGATGATTTTTGGGAGATTGGCACGGATTCCATCTAATTTTGTTAAAGAAAGTAGCGTACCTGTATATACGGAGTATCTAGGTGATTTAGTAGAAAAGCTGCGTGAAACTCAATCACGTGCAGCTGATAATGTTGATTTAGCGAAATTTAGATCTAAAGTGTATTACGACAGGGCTGTTAATCAAAGACATTTTGAACCGGGCGACTGGGTATTTTTAATAAATGATGCTAAGACCAGTAAGTTAGATGCTAATTATTTAGGGCCCTATGAGGTGTCAAAAGTGATGAACAATGAGAATGCAGAGATTAAGCTATCGGATTATCGTAAGAAAACTGTACATATTAATAAGTTAAAACCAGCATTTTGATCGAAAAAATCTTCTAAGACTTAAAATAAGAAATGTAAGCTAATCATTCATGTTAATGGATAGATGATTTAGAATATAAGACTGTATATATGCTCAGATAATTGATAAGTACATAAAATAAAATAAGACTTGTTAAAAATTAGACTCTTCTTGAGTCTAATTTTTATTTTATGCGGGAAGGTGTGATGTCTTGACGCTGATTTTGATGGTTGTCCGCGATATTCAAATTAATATAAAAAATTAATTAAATAACGTAAAATCTTTCAATACTGAGAAAAGTCGAGAATGAAAGGACAATGAACAGGGGACGAAAAACAACTTCGCAGGCGTGAGAAAAACCGTTGCCGGAAATAATAAATGTCAAGTACTTGAGAAAATTCGTAAATTTACAGCTCTCCAAAATTCCTCAAAACAATACTTTTCATGAAATTCTGAAATATAGAGAGAAAATAAACTCGACGGTTACGGTCGTAAAATTGTTAAGTCTCGGTTCTGAGATATTTAGAAAGTCTCTCTGATTCACGTGTTCCACACGTGTTGAGTGTTGAGTTCTCCTTTGTTCATTGTATCGCGGACCTGAAGGGCCTGAGACCCCTCAAGAGGGAATACTGTTGACGTCACACGCTCCCCTTTCTCCCTCTTTTGCTTCCCGATTTCTCTTTTAAGTTACCCCTCTTCCCTTTAGTCCGGGCCAAGATTGCGCGCGCAACTTTTGGTCTAGTGGAGGTGTATGGACCCAACCCTTACATTTTTAGTTTAAGTTAGAGACAGTCCCATCGTGGCTGTTGTTCCGACAACTGTTCCAGCTTCTCTCTTCGATTAGTTTTTCTTAAAGTTTTCCATAAAAGTTTTATCAAGTGTATTTGTCTACCAAAGATTTCAAGTTTAAATTAGAAGTTTGAAATAAATAGTGTTAATGTGCTCTCCTAAGCACTAGTGTTTTGATTTATTCTGGAATACACCTTCAACCCATTTATTCAAAAAATGAACGAGTCAACATCGATGGAGTCCTCATCAGAGGTTTAGCGGCTAACGGATCCACATTTCTAAGTTTGGCGCTCGTTATTTCAAAAAGGCGCCACTGTCCTCCTAGTAACATTGATAGGACATAACCAGGGTTGGGCATATCTCGCAGATGGAAGTTTATGACGTGACATTGTCAAATACCGGTAATTTACCTCTGGGGCGTCAAAAATGTCAAAAAGTGTCAGAAAGCTCTTTACAAGGAAGCTAAGCTAAAAAGTCACAAGGGTCAAAAGTGAGAGGCACATTGGCCGGAAATCGTCAAGATCAAACGATCACGAGGGTTATCCTCGCGAAGGTTAAACATCGCAAGGGTTATGCCTTCTTAGGATCAAACGTCGCAAGGGTCAAACAACGGAAGCAATCCTTTAATCTGGAGGGTGAAACTAATAAGAGGGTCAACAGGGGACGCCAGGCGGTACAATTACAAGGTTCCAACGGTCATAAAGTTTAAACAAAAAAAGCAAGTAGGTTCGCAAGGGTCAAACAGGTCACTAGGTCACGGCCTAGTTATCCTGATTGACCCTTATGATTTACCTACTTTGTGATTGTTTCTTGATCGTTTGTGATTTTCCTGCTTACCTGCGTCTTAATTTTAACTCTTGTGATTTTTCAACTTATCTCTCCTGTAGGCAGAACAATGACAAGAGTAGAATGATCATGAATTAAGAAAAAATAATCTGAAACTATTCCGTTTGGTCTTTGTTGCAACAGCTTATGATCATTTAACGCTCGCAAGTTATGATTGTGACGTTTGACCCTCGCAAGTTATGATTGTCACGTTTGACCCTTGCGAGGTATAACCTCAGTGGGTATGATTTTTTCGAATTTTGACCCTTGTAACTCTGACAGGCGGTATTCTCGGTAAAAATCTCCCGGTTCCCCAAGGTGCTAATAGATGGCGCCACATAGGTTTTTGACAGGTCAAAAAGCCGACAACTCGCCCGGGTAATTTACCTACTTTATGACCGGTCAAAAACCATGTAATTTACCTAAGGTAATTTACTTGCTCAACCCTGGACATAACAAACCTAATCCTAGGGAAAGATAAGAGACCTTCGAGACGGAATTCCCTATAGTTTTAACACGGTTGGGACTTTATTTTCTTAATAAATGCTTTAAAGTGTTCCAGTACCCCCACATGTTCCATAACCCCCACACTGACGGTAGTTGAAGTTTAGGAAAAATGAATTTGCCCCTACTTGTTAATATTTTCATGTCCATTTGTGCATATTCCATCACAATGAAATTAATTCCCAGATTGGGTAAGGTTTTCGTGGAGAAGACTAACCTCTGGGGTGTTGATATGAATAAGAGGGATGGAGGAAAAATGTAAGTATTTAGGCATTTAAATAATAGGTAATCGTTTGTAACTAATTAATTTATTGATGATTCTTCTATTTTAGACCGGAAGCCCTGGGGGTTGTCAGTGGCTTTGTGTTTCTCTGCACCATGTTTCTGTTCATACCAATACCATTCACCGAATACATCTCAGACAATTCCAATTTCCCTCACGACGAGGTAAATTATCAAATTATTTGAACTAAAGTTAATAGCCAATAATTTGTCAACGGCCATTATAACATGTGTTATCACTTCAAATCGTGGGCATAAGTCAAAACAGTTTCGAATGAAAAATATCCTTCCAGTTTTTTGCTTCCGAACGGAAATATTCTAATCATCTAAATTGAAATTCCCAATTATTTTCAGTAGAATAACTATGGTCCAAAATTTTCGAATATGCCATTTCTAAATAGTGCTCGAATGTGTGGACGTGGATAAATGTCGTGTGAACCTGACCTAGGGTTTCTTTTGAACTTCAAGAATATTTAATCCTTGTATTGGCCTCCATTCGTCTCGAGTATGATACTTTGCCCATTCCGATTTACTCCACCGGTCTTCTCTGTTTGATCCTTAAAAGCATTCCAGTTGTTTTTCGCAGATGGAAAAGAGTATTCTCAAAATACCAGTGATGGAACTGGGCAACTTTGCCAAAAAGACGTAGCAGTTAATTCCAAAACTACTCAAGATTACATCCTTATAATTTGCCTTTGTATGTAAATTTTGTTTTGTCGACAAATGACGCCATATGTTCAAGTTTTTACCCTCTCCATTGAAGGTTGCATTTAATCAGACACCTGTGTGAAAAACTAGTTTTTTTTGTTCACTATCAGAGAGACAACCATGAAAAAATGTCTAATTGATCTATCGATAGTGGGACAAGATCGTATGTACTTGAGACAAAGAGTTATTAAAAGTAAGTTCAGTACGATTCTAAAGAGCTCAAATGGTCTTGTTTTCACATTCATTGAGTCAGGTTCATCAGTTTTATCAATTTATTATAGAATTTCGGAGGTATTGATATACTTTTCCTGAATCAATTTTTCGACGATTACTCAAAAAATTATGATTGAAAGAAATTGAATCATGGCCTGAAAAATTATTATATATCTTCGTCTATTAATTTTATCAAAATATAATGGAAATGGCATCATTTATCGTTGATTTACAGCATATTGTTTGTAATATTTCTTTCTGAAATGAGTTTTTAAATTATTACTGAAAATATTATATAACAAGACGTAAACAATTATATCGTTGCATTTTACCATTTCACGATACTACACTTAAGGATGTTCGACACCTTTTTGGCTGAAATTTACGTTTTTTTTCCTTTTTTTGGCGAATTGTCGATCGGATTGACGGAAAAAAATATAACGTTTTTGTGTTCTGTCATTATTTAATGGCTCACGCAGTGTCATGGTGGTGGAATCATTTTCCTGCGTTTTTTCTACAGTTTTGTGATTCCTTTTAAACGTTTAGCAAAAATGCACAAAAATGATCGCACCACCTTGCAACTTCGCGAGTCATTAAATAATGACAAAATGCAGAAACGTTATATTTTTTCGCGTCAATCCGACCGACAATTCGCGAGAAAAATTAAAAAAACGTGAATTTTGACCGAAAAGGTATAGAACATCCTTAATTTTGTTCTTTAAATTCCCTTCGAAAATCGATTGTTTCAGTTCGTTGAGCTACTAGCCGCTCTCTTGTCCATCTGCTGGGTACTCATCCTTGGATTCGTCGATGATGTTTGTGATCTCAGATGGAGAGACAAACTTTTATTGACAACAATAGTATCCTTACCCCTTTTAATGGTTTACTACGTGAATTGCAATGCAACTGTCATCATAGTACCAAAACCACTTAGATCATGGTTGGGTTTATCCGTCGAGCTTTCATTATTCTATTATATGTACATGGCTATGCTGGCAGTGTTTTGTANTCGATCGACAATTCGCGAGAAAAATTAAAAAAACGTGAATTTTGACCGAAAAGGTATAGAACATCCTTAATTTTGTTCTTTAAATTCCCTTCGAAAATCGATTGTTTCAGTTCGTTGAGCTACTAGCCGCTCTCTTGTCCATCTGCTGGGTACTCATCCTTGGATTCGTCGATGATGTTTGTGATCTCAGATGGAGAGACAAACTTTTATTGACAACAATAGTATCCTTACCCCTTTTAATGGTTTACTACGTGAATTGCAATGCAACTGTCATCATAGTACCAAAACCACTTAGATCATGGTTGGGTTTATCCGTCGAGCTTTCATTATTCTATTATATGTACATGGCTATGCTGGCAGTGTTTTGTACAAATGCTATCAACATTCTAGCCGGTATAAATGGCTTAGAAGTTGGACAGAGTCTTGTTATTGCAGCTAGCATTATAACATTCAATTTCATTGAATTGAGTGGTAATTTATGGAAGGCCCACCAGTTTTCACTATATTTGATGATACCATACGTAACAACGTCACTTGCTCTCTTTAAATACAACTGGTAAGTGAAAAAGAAAAACAAATTGCATTATATGGAATTCAGGAGATACAGAGTATTACCTATATAGTAAAAAAAGAAAATTAATATTCTTTATCTCCATGAAATGGCCAATTCCTCTAATCTCTACAATTTTATATATTTGAATCCTCCCTATTTATATAAATTATTCAACATCCATACTCCGATATATCCTTGTATATAAATTCGATCATTAGTTTATATGCTGCATTTGCAATTTTAATCAGTTATGACTGGTTGAATAAATATCACAGACATTCGATCGTGCATGATCATCAGTAATAATCAAGTTTAGCATAGAAATTATCGATCAGCCAGTCAAATTTGAAACTATTACTCATAACAGTGTCTGGCGCAAAGTACGATTCCGTAGTTTTATAAGCTCTGATAAGGCTCATCTTATCGTCAAACCAGACTCCAGTGCCGATTAAATCCTCCACGAACAGAACTTCCATATTCTTAGCATACTTAGCCTCTTTAGGTTTACCATCTTTCTTGAGAGCAATGATAATATTAGCGGGTGTTTCACAGTAATTACAGTACCATCCACCATAATGATTAAGATCCCCAATAACTAAACCAAGAACATCTCTCTCATTGGTCTCCCCCAATTCGCGTTGAAGTAAAATGGAATTTGTTCGGTATGATTGATATATACATCCGATGGTGCATGCACCAACGGTTATGATTGTTTTGGAAGGATGCTGCCAGAAGAATCCAAAGACGGACCATCTGAGGCGAAAGCCAATGGGCTGAGACCAACCGTCGTATACCTTAAGGAACATTAATGCACGCCAATTCAATATCTGCTCAGGGCCACTCATTACATAGATATCGTCCTCCTTTATATTCTTCACAACACTGATTATTTTATCCCACACGTATTTCGAGATGACTCGCGAGGGTTTCCGCGACTTGTGAGCAGCATTTATATATAATATCTTGCGCTGATGACTGGACAATAGTCCCTTGTTCAATTTATGCTGCAAATTCTCCTCTGCTGCACTGAAGTCACAGATTACAAATAAATCTACGACGTGGTGGAGCTCTTCTACGATAACTTCGGCCATTGCTGAGTTGTAGTCTTGTACCGAGAATGTGTAAATCAGTCGACGTAATGTTTTCCTCGGTTTCAGTTTGATTTTTTGTTTCGCAGCCATTATCGCTCGCCAAACGACTTCCGGTTGACCACAGTCTGCACCATGCCATCCACACTGACATTGACATTTTTCCAGAGACGAGTGAGATTTATTGGAGACGCCCTCCTTCCAACATTTCGTCGTGTTTTGCGTGATGAAGAATCCTGATGTTCTTGTGTCTTTCAGCTTTAACTCATCAGTTAAGATTTGGTATGATGGTTTTGGTGTAAGATTTTCACCTTTAAGAGGAATCTACAAAAATATTTGAGTGCAGAAAATTCATTGATTGGATGACTATCAAAAGCACAATTTTTCACAATTTCTTACCTCTGTTGGTTCCACTCTAATAAAACTAATGGGATTCCTTGTTGTCATCTGTGCATATTCACTAGGTGGTGTTGACACAACGTAAATCATCACGATGAATACTTGAAGTACCAATAATGTATAGAGCAACGCCAGCTTACCGTCCAGCCGGTTCTGCATGGCAATTCTTTCTCCTTTTTCTTTCTTCTTTTCTCAGAGTCTTATCAGTTCTTTGTCTTTCTTATAGTCAGTCACATTGCTTCCTGTTTCATATCTCTTCACATGACTGTGACGAATAACCTGAATTATTAAAATACAAGCATTGATGAACAAATGACAACTCAACAGCCAATATACTTTTCCCCGAATGAGACGAAAGGAAATTATAATTATAATTTCTCCAATAACAAAATAATAATAATTTCCTTGGAAATGGGTGTAACTTCACTGTAGTATTATCGATTTGGAAGTACCGAACGAAGTTGCCATGCTCAGAAGTTGAAGTCACCTCCAGAATCTCATCCAAGAGTTGAAAAAAAATGCCGGAAGGGAATTTTTTTCTGGCAATAAGAGTTAAAACAAAACTATTGTCAATTGCGTTTATTTATATGCCTATTCTCCAAATGCATACAATAAAACGACTGTAATCACCACTTGTTACCCGTGACCTCATCGGGACCACCGGCTGTGCGAACGGCCCCAATGTATGTTTATATATATATATATGTACACATCTATGTTGTGGTTGTGAAGCGAAAGGGACGGAAGTTGTGTGAAAATATATTTATATACGTATCTATACACTTACCCGGTACTATTTTCTCAGTCTCCATCAGTTGGTGGAATTCTACTCGTTCTATCTCCACTCAACATTTTTAGTTTTGAACAGGAAGAAAATAATGTTCAATTTTCTAGATAAATTTGTACGTCTTACTCGCTAGTTTTATCGCCGAAAGAGTTGATCTTTGTAATATGGTGTCTTATCCGGTAGTGACAAAATGACAAACCACACCCGAGGCAAATTCACATCTGCGAGTGTCTAAAACACCATGGTAATAATATTCCAACAAGCATGACAAGCGCATTCGTGATTTACCAACGAGCGCATGCGTTTCATCTCTTCTATCTTAATGCCCGGTGAAAGAAACATGCATTGGGTGTGCATCGGCTGGATTACAAGAGTCTAGTTGGGATTTTTTTTTAGAACCCTTCTAAGGGCTAACATGACGTTTTTTAATGTCCTATTTACCTTTTCTCGTATTTATAGATGCATATATTGCCCGCTACTGACATTTTTTATTTGAGGGGATTCTTTCGGTGGAACTTATGACAGAGGTCGATAACAACTGGTATGGAGGCGGTGTAGAGATATATACTGGGGAATCTTATACTCTCACTTCTCTCAGTCCTTCTTGTTGAATCACATCTGAACATCTGCTGAGGGACAATGCGTTCGAGAATGACAGGTGTGTCAAACAGACGGTATTGACCTGAGTGAAGGAATTCTCCGATAAAGGTCGTTCGCAGTAGATTTTTTACACTTCAAACTGGATTGGTTATTCATAGTTTCAAATTAATTGAACTGGTTAATTACTTTCCAAGTACTCAAGATGGTAGTCGATCATGTTGAGTAACACGAAAATAGCAGATAACCATTCATAATGAATTGATGAAGATAAATAGCCCATTAGTGAAGTGAAATAAAAAAAAACGACATGAGCCAATTTCACTCTGAGATCAATTTTTAGAAGATGCTCGGATTACTTCTTTTGCAGCTCTTACATTTTATCAGAATGAAGCCAAAATAATTATGGGTGGTCTTAAGAATTTTCAGGTTGATTTATCTCGTTTTTCTGCTACGCAACTGACCTCTTATGTCCAAAAGAAACTACTCCCTCTCTCTTTGGAATATGCATAGCAAGAAAATGAAATGAAGTAAATCAATATTTTTCCTATCAATCCTATCAAAAAAGAGCAAAGTGAGAGTTAAATAAAGTTCATTAAATTCAAAGCCAATAAGTGATAAAGCACAACAGATATCGCAGGAATGGACTATTGAAAATTATACAAGATACATATCTTGGAATTTTAAGCAGATATTTTTTTGTATCCCTGAATTAACACTAGAAAAAGTTGCTAAGAAAAATATTTATAATAAATAATTTAAGGCCCCGCTCCGCTATCTGCCGAACGTTATCAAGATTGCGTTTTTGGGTTCCATTTTTATCTCGAAATTTCAACTTGATGCCCCGCCACTCAGAGATCCCTGAAAATTATGAATTTGTATTGAAAAAAACGTAAAAGAAATTCTGGACATTTTAAAAGGGCGTTTTTAATTAATATTGAGGCATGAGTTCCAGAGAGGAAATGTATAATATATAATTACTGTGGTAAATGCCGGCCTATCAGTTGCTACCATGGGGGGAGGAAAGACGAAATAATAAATCTTTTGGCACCGTGCAACCAGACGATTGTACGAAAAAAGGCTCTTTGAAAAATTTTGTAATATATTTAAGAATTTTTTGGTCACACTTTTACGATGAACTACCACTGACACTCATCTCCTCAATTGAAAATTGTATTGTCCATCAACTGTCACTTTTGTCGGTGGCGCAAAAAAAGGAAGAAAGAGCAATTTTCCTGTTTTCAATTCCCGGTAAAAATGACAGCCGATCGCCAGTACAATTATCAATGGAGGAGATTGGCGTAAGTGATTAGTAATTCATTGTTAAAGTGTGATCAAAAAATTCTTAAAAATGTTACAAATGTTTTCAAAGAGCCGTTTTTCGTACAATCGTCTTGTTGCAGTGTGCAAAAGGATTTATTATTTCGTCTTTACTCCTTCATGGTGTCGACTAACAGGCCGTCATTTGCCATGGTAATTATACATTATTCTTATTTCCTCTATTGAACTAATTCCTCAACAATAATTAAAAACGTTTTTTCTAAATGTTCAGAACTTTTCTTACTTTTTTACAAACCTAAAGTGAAAATTTTCGAGAGTCCCTGAGTAACGGGGGATCGATTTGAGCCGGGCCTTAATGAAAATATCTAATATGTCATGGAGATAGTTGTAACAAAGGTGAATTTCCGCCAAATGATTTCTATTGCAGGTATCCGTCACGAATTTTTGTGGGCGACACTTTTTGCTACTTCTCAGGAATGACGTTTGCAGTTGTTGGAATCATTGGACATTTCAGTAAAACTCTACTATTGTTCTTCATCCCTCAGGTTATTAATTTTTTGTACAGTGTGCCTCAGTTGTTCCATTTGATGGCGTGTCCAAGGCATCGATTACCCAAGTAAGAGTTTCTTCTATGAAAATAAGATATCATGAGGGATGAATTAGTTTTTTTTTCTAAATTTCAGATTTAATCCAACGAGTGGAAAATTAAATCCCAGTGTGACAGTGTTTCAAAAATCTGAGCTCAATGTTATTGGTCGATTTATTATGAATATTTTTCGAATACTAAAAATAGTAAAATGGGATGAGGATGAGAATGGTGTAGTTACTTGCAACAATCTCACGTTGATTAATTTCGTTCTTATTGTAATTGGACCAACAAAGGAGCCTCAATTAACGAAAATTCTTTTATTAATTCAGGTAATTAAAGTGAAAATTTACTGCTACATTCTATCCACCAACAATTTTGCGAGTATCATCAAAACCAAAAAGTTTCGAAAAATTTATCGCGGATTTTTTTTCTAAAAAATCTTTCGAATTTAAAACAAGATCCTTCAACATTCTTCTACAATTTTACTAAATTCAGAGATACTAGCAAAATTAGCTTCATCATGTCTTTATATTTCACAATTATCCTGTGAATGAACTATTTTACAGTATTATTCGTTTTTCGTTTGCAGATTGCAAGTTCATTCTTGGCCTTCCTCATCAGATATCCTCTTGCGTCTGTTTTCTACGACGTATGAATAATTAGAAATCAGAAGTCTGAAATGATTCAGGTATCAAGAGATAAAGACCAAAAAGTCAATCTAGTTTGAACTCACAGACTCAATTCCTGAAACTGTAGTTGAAAATAAAATTCTTCTAAAGAAGGGCTTGGTTTTCCTTTCTCTAGAGGAAAACCAAGGAAGTCAAGAGACAGGGTTTCGTAGTGATCGATCTTCAAATAAATCTTTCCAGATGTTTATATAATTAAGTGAGTGATAACAAATGATTTTAAAAACTATAAAATAATAATAATAATAATAATAAAGAAGGAAACAAAGCATCTGCAATTTGTACAGGGTCAAATTTCATAAAGGTGTTTAAGCGATTACCTATATAAACATTGCAATTTTCACATGTCACATTTTTTTTCCATTTCAAACTCACACACATGATTTATTACCTTGTTTCACACAATATATCTTTTAATTAAATGCAATTATTGATTTACAGAAAAAATGGTTGACTAAATATATGAGTACGTTAACGCGTTTTGGACTGAATCGTTGGAACAATCGATATAGGCACTTTACTAATCGTGAAAAACCTGTGTGATAAAGAAATCAGTTTCCATGTAAACTCCAAAAATCTCATCGATCACTCAGCTTATCAGTATTTGAGTTCTATTTTATTTTTACATCATAAAGCCGCTGATTTCCCTTTTGGTAAAGATTAGCGCCACAAAATGATCATACGGTGAACCGGACAACGATGCAAAACTAATGATTTTTACAATTTTGCAATTTGTTACTTTCAAATTTGGTGTCTCAGAGTTGATTAGGACATGCCTGAAATACCAAACATGAAATCAGCGCCTAATCTCTCCCCAATTTTCAACTGAGCCTTTGCAGCATCCTGGAGACTGAATATGTGAGTTAATTCGAGACCTGTTCGGGCTAATGATAGAGCTTTGTCGAACAATTTTATGGCTTCTTTGAGATTGCCTCTGAAATATTGAACGAATCATTGAAATGAATCATAATTTATTAAATATTAGAGCTGTAAACGGACTGGTAAAAACATGAAAGTAAAATTTGAATTTTTCATGAATCGGTAAAAACTTTTTATAAATTTGTATCAGTACAAGTCTCTCGGAATTTAATCTTGAAGTTACTCATGATAAAAAAAATTCAAAGTCAGTCACGTTTTCCCACTTCACTATTCAATTATTTTCCCATTAAAATTAAATATTTTACCTTTGTACTTCGATCGTACCCAACGTTTCATACCCAAATTCACATTTATCATCCAACTCCAGGGCTTTATTAATGTATTCCATCGCCTTAACAACATTCCCACACCATTGGAGTTGTAATAGGCCCCTGTGTACGTATATAGTTGCATTTTTTGGGTCTTTGTCAATAGCTTTTGCAAAGTATTCATCAGCTCTTTCATAAGACTGTGCATCACATAACATCTAAAAAATTTCAGATTTTTATCGATGCATTTCATCGTGATGTATTTTATGAAAATTCATCATCAAAAACCCAAACTTACACACATACATTAGCAAAAAAAACACTTCGTCATGTTTTATAACATTCTATATCATTGCCATGCAAAATTGGAGAATGTCAAAATTCGACAAAAACAAAGTTTTCGTTCGGAAGCAAAAATACAAATTTTTCGAGTCGAAATTTTGGATAAATACCCGTAAGTTTATTAGTTTTAATTATATAAAAGCCTTCTCACCTGAGCATACAAAGTATAACATTCACAACAGTCTGGAAAGAGTTCAAAGGACTTTTCAAAGTTCTCCATTGCGGATTCAACGAGACTTGGCATTCTACTCATAGCTGCATGACGATAATCCGTATAACATTTCTGTGCATATGCAATTCCAAATTGGGGATTCAATTTCAATGCTTTTTCGGAGTCCTCACGCGCCTCATTGACGTTCTCCAGGAGTAGATTAACCTGTTAAAAAAAAATATCGTGAAATTCATTAGCCAAAAATACACTGCATTACAGGTTGATAAGTGCATTAAAAACCTGTCCACGATGATGATAAATATCGCCACAGTCTGGATCAGTTGCCAATGCCCTCTCGAAGTCTTTGAAACATTGTGATGGATTTTCCAACTGCATATGCATCGTCGCTCTTTTGATGAGTGCATTCACTCGGACTTCTCTACTCGCTGATTCATTCTTATCACTTATCACTGCATCGAGGTCATCCATCGCTTTCTCATGCTGTCCAAGAAGAAGGTAAAACGTTCCCCTCAGTAATAGAAGCTTCATTTTATCAGGAACATCAATGTCACTCTTTTCAATCTCTGCTGTGCATATAGAAATAATGTCGTCGTATTTCTCTCCTTTGAAAGCTTCGACCGCATTAGTCAATCCCCTATCAACACAATGTGCAATTAACATAAAATACTTAGTTTTTTATAACAAATCAATTGTGGACAGACGGGGCGAATATTTCACGTCGATACATCACACTTGTGTGATCATTGAATTATCTCGCCAATGAGATCTTTCAAGGAAAATTATTAATCCACGTTTTGATGTAAAATTCGCTCAATACTAAGGAACTTTGACTTTTCGCTGTAAAATTCCTGACTGATGAAAAATGGATCGATAATGAACAAGATTTTGGCATTTATCTCCAAATAAAACGCTTATACTGCTCCACAATGGGATTTTCTTTTTTCTTATTAATCACTACATTGTGAAAATTACACTCACGGGCCTGCATATTTATCCATCGAGTCTATCGCTTCCACTGATAATACTGGATCGTTCCTGAATGAACTGAAATATGTTTTGATAAAATGCTTGCTGGGCATCACTGGTTTCTTCGTCGTCATAAGTTCTTGGGCATGTTGTTTCCCTGAAACCAATAGTGTAGACAACTTTCTCGCAAAGAATAAAAATTTTATGATCACATGTGGGCCATTCTCTGCAAATTGTCATTTTTCACCTGGCATATTTTTCAAAATCTGAACATGTCTGTAAAGTAATTTGTTTACGTTTCTATATGTCATAATGGTCCAGAAGTATAGTCCTAGCGCCACTCTACTACAACTTCAAAAGATTCAGAATAATAGTGTTACCGATTTTTTACTGTTACGGTGGTGACCAAACTTGACAAGTCTTCGTATTTCAATCAAAGAATTTAATTTTTAAATAATAGAACAAGTTTATTGATTTATTTGACATCTTTCGAGTATCATATATTCATTTGCAGAGATCACTTTGGTTCTTTTTCAACAATCAATTTCCACACAGCACAGGTGTATTCAGCGGTTGTTGATGACTCACCTGGGTGTCACTCTGAGTTTGCACTATTTAAACACCTAAAACATTTTTCTAAATACCTTAGAAATTATCCAACATGTAACAATCATGAGACCACGGTAGTGACAGAATAATTTGTGACTCATCTTTTTCATCTCTCGAGTAGTCTTTCTCGATATGGACATATGTCTAGTTAATTGTTACTGGTGTAAATACCGGGCCTCACCCCTTCATTACAGAACTTCGGTGCGTGCGTCATGTGCAAACATCAGAAATGGCGCGACTGCAGTTAAATTCAAATTTTTTTAAATAGTGCTAAAATTGTGGGACAAACTTTTTGATCGTCCTGGTGAGCGTAAAACAGTTATTCCTCTGAAAATTGTTCATGAAATGATACTTAGTCACATCCCCTATTATCTATGTTCAGGAAATTTTCTTTGAGCTACTTATTTACTCGGTTTCATTGACAAAATCTCGAATTTCATAAAAAGGACATGCCACGGTAGTACATTTAAGCTGGTTTCAGTTCTCTAGAGGTAAATAAACAGTCAGGGAATTGCATCTATTTTATGGAAACGGTGGAATGCCGTAGTGTCTCTCGACATCCGGAGAAATTTGATTATTATTTCATCATTTTGAGATTGGAAAAATTGAAGGATAAGAAAATAACAATTTGTAGATAATCACCCATGTTCCGCGTTTGACTCATGTAGACTTACCAAGTTGTTTCAAAACTCTATCGGCAGTGAGTAAAGCACTCTGATTCGTAAATCTCTCCAGAATACACGCAGCAGTGACATCCTCGAGGGCCAACTCAAGCTCATTATTTTTTTCCAAAACCTTAGCCCTTCTTATCAGTGCTTTCGTATATTTGGGATTCAATTCGAGAGCTTTTGTACAGTCTTCTTTGACCGCTGTGAACTTCTCCTGCAATAACCAATAATTGATAAGCCAATTTCAATTTCAATCAGTACAGAGAAAATTCCACTCACAAGTGCATCATAAGCAGCCGCTCTGTTCTGATAAATTTTGGCTAATTCATCTTTATTTTCTAGTGGACATGCTTCGATGGCTTTGTTATAGTACAAAATGGCATCATCGTATTTCCTAGCGATGAATGCCTGATTGCCCTGTGCCTTATATCTCTGGGCCCTCGCAGCCGGTGTCTAAAGCAATTAGAAACCAACAGTTGATCATAACAGTAGAATCCATTTTTTAAAAACTGTATATAGTCATGTTTCCATGTTGCATTGTCTAATTTGACTATCATAGGGCGCGTTTCGCAATCGACTTAGTAGCAGTAGCAGTACTGTAACCCTATCTAATTTCGCTTTACTGCAGCTACAGTAGTTGATTCCGAAACGCACCCATAAGAAATAGCTATTTTCGTTACAAGGCCGAAAAAAACTTTTTTGACGAGTGTGAGGGTTACAGAGCGAGGTGAAGCCGAGGAATGCAATCACCACAAGTCAGAAAAGTGGTTTTCGGCCGAGTGACAAACATAATTTTTCTTTAAAATGTCCGTAAATGGCGTTTGACGGACACGAAGTGGACCGTGTGTGATGAGAAAAGTATTATAGAATCATCTAACCTCGAGTTTATCAGCCCTGGAGTTTTTTCCTGGTGAGTCACCATCTATTGAGATTTGTTTATCAGTTGCAGTGCCATTGGCTTTACCTGGGCCTTTTGATTTGCCTTGGCTAGAGTTTTTGTAGTACATGTATCCTAGACCAAGAGCTACCGGTGCACCTACTGCCAATGCCAATTGCCATTTTGGCAGGGAACCACTCACTGCACTTGCCGCACTATTTGCAACCGGCATAATAAATTTCTAATTTTGTTGATTTATGTTTCTTCGTTCCTTGTTTTATTACAGTATCCCAGTAACGTCCTCTTCGTGGTACCCAACCGGGCTTGAATTTAAATGAGTGGACACGTTTCGACCAATCTTTCTTAGTACGGTCTACCTTGTATTCTATATTGCTAGTACTATCACGAGGTCACTGGTTACGTGCGAAACATGCATGCATATAAACGAACGCTATGGAAGTAGATTACTGTGCGCCACTGCTCCTACAGGTTAGCGTGGCAGCGACAAGATCACGAGGAGTCATGAGATTTTTGGAAGAAAAAAAGAGCTTCTCATTTGATTGGAGAAATTTGGGTGGATAATTTTTTCAATAATTTGATGCAAGTGGAATTTATTACGGGGTTAAAGTGTGGACTGAGGATTCACCAGTTTCAAAGCCTATCCGAGATGTTTTTTTGTAAGAAAGAAATGGATAAACGGAATGGAACGAAATTTAACCGGAAACAGCTGAGTTTTCTGAGAAGGAAATTCAAAAGAGGAGAACGATTGTCATGATGACAGCGGAAGAATTTTTATAATTCGGGTGCAAAATAAATATAATTATATAATTTCAAAGATATAAAAACTATCAGTTTCAGAAAGATTATTTATTTAAGTCCAGGACTAGAATCATAACGGTACAATTATTATTTTGAGTTCGATCTCGGTTGTGCCAACAATTTTACAATAATTACGTGTATTCAATCCATTTTATTGATAAAGAATAGAGAGAATATTCATGGTGTAGCCATGCCGGTCAATAAATCAATGTAAGTAAACAAATATAGAATAATTGGGTGGGTGACAAAATCGGCTCACCGAAACTTCTCCCGAATCTCACTACCCTGGCGATTTACCTTCTACGGAATAGCGTAGATGTTCCGTAGATGTTCCGTAGATGTGCGTAGATGTCGATTTTTGGGCAAAAAACCCAGGGAAAGTGCCAAAATATCTTGTAAATATAATTTGAATATTAATTCATTAACAATTAATGACCGCTGGCACTAATTAATGGCGTATTTCCCCCTAATTAATGATAAATGTTAGGGGTCAGTGAAATGTCACTACAACGATAGGTGGGGGGGATTCTCCGAGATGGCGCCATTGACGACTTCGGTTGAGTCGGTTGAGTCGGGATCCTTGCAGCAGTCGCAGGCCCGCTGCCTGCCGGATCAGNGCCTTAGACCCTCTTTTACGGAAGCGTACTACTAGTAAATCTTCAATTGCTCTAAATAACATTCGGGAGAAAACCTTGTTATTAAATATATGATAAATATAAGGTCCGGGTGATTATGATTCAATTTTATAAGAAATATAAATGATACAGTATATTTCTGCACTGCAGTGGCGCCCACTCAATAGCGTACAGCAAGGTTGGGCATCCGTGGCAAATCTGGGTTTTATACCTGTACATCGTATAAAAGTGATAATTTACCTCTAAATGGTAAAAAAAAGTATACAATTGGTATAAAACTCCCTAACCTATAACCAGCAGCGCCTGAGTAGTGGTGGACTCGAAATAATTCATGTGAACTGATGTTTCAATTATAAAAATAGCATTATAATATAAATAAATAAATAAGTGTCAATAATAATACATACATTTTGAATCGTAAAGTATTTATTTGAAAGTTGGGTAACAAAAAAATACTCCAATATGAATGATCATCGTAAAAAATCCACTCCCAACGTAAGTACAAATAATACATTCGAGTAGAAAAAATACGTGATTTATTATAAAAATGAACATCAATAATGTTGTTTTTCTAGCGTTCTGCAGATTCAGTAATTTATGAGGCTTTGGCTGAATTTTTCTTCGGCTGCAATATACCTTTTAATGTGGTGGAATCCAAGTTTTTCAAGCAATTCATCAAAACTCTGAACTCCTCGTACCAAGTTCCATCGAGGAAAAAGCTCTCCACCAAGCTGCTTGATCAAATTCACCAAAAAGTAATTAAACAACTAGAATACAGCAA